AACCCGTTCTCGGCGGTTTTCTGTACTACGCCTTTGTAGGAGCTCTTCGGTTGAACTTTTCTGTTCGAAAGTCGTATAAAAGTACTTTTCTTTACAGCATCTGACAGTTCATTTTTTACTTTTTTTAACAGCACTATGAAGTATTTGAACTATTGTCATTACAAATCACAAATAATACAGAATAACTTCCTATCATTTCACTCCACTTTAAAATGAAAGGAGGATCTAATAGTAGTAAATATAAATGCTCGAACCACTTACTACACATCGAATGACTTAGTGAACCGTGCCAAAACACAACCACAGTTGAATTTAAACGCTCAATCTGAATCCCAAACTTCCCGACTATTCTGTTATGTCACTTTTTCATTGGATGGTTACATTTTGTAAACATTAAAAACAGTTTTGATAAATAAGTAGAAGTAATTTTACATAAACGTAAATACATTTAGATATACTAGTGATTCTACCTTTAATTTAATTCATTTCAAAATCAACACATTCAGAAAAGTCATTTTATAAAAATATTCGTTATTTAGACTCAAAACAAACACCAATTCTTAGAACTTTTCAATTTTATTCCGTTCATAACTACTGATCTTATCGTAGAGAAATTTATAGATGGACTCAAACATATTTACTCAATATTTGCACTCTTTCAGACAACTAATTTAAGTGATTCGTATTTTGAGAACCTGTTTCTTACGATGATATTTTTTCTCATCACAACAACTTCGACTCGTTCCTAACAAAAATTGTACACAACTTAGTGACGGTACTGTCGTACCTGCAAGTTACTATTTGTAAAAAAACAAAAAAGATAAACAAAATATGAAAATATTTTTCTTTAATATAAAATATTATAAACATTTAAAATAAAATTAAATAAAAATATCAATAATACATAATTCCTTTGTAGGATGTGTACAGCGAAAATCAGAATATTTTCCCGCGACCCAGGATATATATTTCGGGAAAACTCCAATGATATCCATTAGCAAGAAGCACGTCAAATCTCACTGACATTCATTAATGTTATTCTCCAGTGTGATCTCTAGTTATTGATTACACACACTTGATATGAACATCTTGAAACTCAGAGTCTGGCGAAAGAGAGTTAACCAAGTAAAACAAAAGTGAATATAATGTTATACCACGTTCTGAAATGTCAATTTTTATCTACGACTATCACAGGACCAATTTTATTTGATTTGATTTGATGAACATTTCAATAATTAGAAACACGAAACTTGCTTGTTAGTGTTACGATAAGGTTTCGTGTTTGATTTAAACTTATAAGAAGAGATCTATAATTGGTTTATAAAAGGTTATTTGTTTCAATCTAATCACAAAAGCTCTTGTGCTATTTTAAAACTAATTTGAGCACTCACAAATGCACATTAATAAAACATTTGAACATTGTCGTAGATAAAGTAATCGAACGTCAGTGATTATAATATGCAACACTTTTTGAGACTAGTTAGTAATTGCAATTGAAAAAAATCACGTCTGAATGCTGCATGATAGCACATGATAAAGGCTGCCATATAGTCCCCTACGACACTGATCTCAAGACAAACACTGATGAGTGTGAAGCAATGTAAACCAGGTCTCACTTGCAGCGAGATTCTTCCGATGCAGTACGAAGCGCCTGTTAACGCACAGCCTGGGGAGAGTAAGAGACGAGCGTTTCCTGCTCGGTGGCTGACGTAGGGAGGGACGGCAGCATTTTTCAAACGCCCACACTTCGATATTGAAATATGCAACTACCGTAATGCGGTACTTGATACATCAAATATACGTAGTTTTATTACTGGTTTCTATTTCAGCAGATGACTAAAAGCGAGAAAGGAAGAAAGTAAACGGGAAGCACATAATACCACTTTTAAATGTGTGTAGAGTACATAAAGTATAAAATACTTTATCCACTTTGCTTATCAAAATTTAAATTTCATGAATCTGAGGTAAGTTTCATAATGAGTCATTAGAACAAAAGTGTTCTATTTATTTATCACTTTGGAGAAAAAAAGACCAGTTTTGTAATGAAAAGGAAAAGTGTTCACTCGAGTCTTCCAACAATCTATGGCCTTCTATTAATTATATCTATATCAGTCCCTACGATTTCATAAATGTATTGTCAAATTTTACGAAAATTATAATACATTAGAATTTATAGAAAGTGGATAAAACATTGTATGATATTCGTATCTTAACATCTTATTACAATATTCTATTGGTTATCAAAACCGGCTTGGTGACCCAGTATGATAATTCAAGCTCATGTTTTAATGAGATATCTTGCGATACTTATTTAGTAAATCACTATTACTATACTGAACTAAACACAATACAATTCATAGTATAGTCAGGCACAAGCCTAACGTCAAAATCTCCAATATTTCCAACAGAAATGTCTTAACCGATATTCAGAATGCAATAAAATTTACTAATGGTCTGAGTTTAAATGGTTTGAGTTCATTTAATGATATGAAATGATGTTCTTTAATTCTAATGACTTGGAAGTTGAATTGACTGAATCGTTTTTAATCGAGTAAAGTGCTTTGATATATACCGAAATGAATTTTCGATATCGATAATATATCGATACAGTAGACTCATGATTATCCCAGTTTCAGTTAATTTACACTCCGGTTTAACTGAGGTAGTTATTAGATATGCAATCCACTGAAAAACGTAAAATTGAAGCACACAAATAAAAAACATCTGCGGTTGCAGAGAATATGTATGTGCGTGGGCGATGCCATCACACTTCGAAGAATTTTGGTGCTTCCTCGAATTCGATAAATATTCACTCGATTTTTATGTTATTGTAATGTGTACACGTTTCTTTTTCATAAGTTATTTACTGAATAAATTTTATATTTGTGGTTATATGGAAACTACTGATTGAAAAATTCATACCCATTGAGTCATTCAACTTTAAACTAAAAATGTTTATTTTACCTCGTTTCCACGATCATTTTCAAAATCGGAGTACACATTTTCCGGATTTTTTTCCTTTTTGCATATCAGACAGGGGGTTTCGGTCCCTATTACCTCGGATAACCACGCGTCTACTGTATATTGCGACAAAAAAAACAAACAACAACAACAAAAAAAACTAACACGGGTATTTGGAAAGCCGTTTGCTTTCCAAACACCGGCGTTTTTTCTTGTCGCTGTGTGACTGCCGTCCCTCTGCTAGGTGAAGATGATGATGAGGTAGACGATGAGTCCGATGAGCGCCATGAGCAGGAGGGGGACGGCGAGGCTGAAGCACTGGCAGGCGTCGACGCCGCGGCCCGCGGCGGGGGCGGAGGAGGAGGAGGAGGACGCGCCCCGTGCGGGAGGCCCGCGCGCGGCGCCAGGAAAGACTGCCCCGGCCGCCGCCCGCCCGCCGCGCCCGCCGCTGCGCGCCGCGGCCGGTACGGCCCCGCGCCCAACGGCGTCGACACACACCGACTGGTAGGTCTCCCCGCCGTCGCCCCGGCGCGACGCTCAAACAGGTCGCTGCGCCGTCCGCCGCCTCCTGCCGCGACCCTCCCACGCGCAGTAATCACCGCCGCCGCCGCCGCCGCCCCCATCGCCCCCGCCGCCGCCTCCATCTCCTCCACCGCCGTCACACATGCTGCGCTCCCGCACACACACTCGCTCCTATTGAAACGAACCACCCGCGACTCTCGACTGTTAGCTGCCGGCGGGTTTTTCACCTGATGTCATTTCCTTGCCGCGTTCCGCAAATTCAAGTTTGACGCACTCTCAAGACGAAGGTTGCGAGTTGCAGCACGCCGGGAATGAACCGAGGGAGCCCGTTGGTGGTGCGGTCTGCCCTCCGCCGGGGCTGGTTGGGAAGAACAGAACAGAACAGAACAGACGATATTGGCCGCTCGCGCGGTCTGCTCATCACGTCTCTCGGAATTCACCTCCTCGGCTCCGCGATCTGCGCAGCGGGAAGAGGCCGCGAGGTCACGGGCAGAGAGGCGGCCAACGCGCAGGCATGCTTGCTGGTGGCCGTCGTGGTGTCGCGCTTCCCCGCTAGATGGCTCTCTCAACGCTCGCTCAACATTCCACAACTTGAACGTCATTCTGTTTCCAATGAATCCCTGGAAGGTCGTGTTGTTGACGCCTGTTTCGTCTTTCAGTGAGAACGTTGTTTTACCATATTCGGTTAATCTTCTGTTAAATGTTCCGTAGCTAGAAAAACAACAACTGTTATTAATCTACGCTTCAGGTTTTCTAAAATTTTATGACTTTCTCGGGAGTTTCGAATTTTTTTTTTCACATGTCGCACGAGAATGACACCATAGAGCTTCAAACAGGTGTTTGCCATAAAACATACAATGCTCTTCACAATAGCACTAATCTTCACATTTCCGTCTCAATTAAAACACGAAGTCCTGTGATTTGTCAGAAATTGCGAGATTTAATTTCGCTTGATTCTTTTACTTTGTTTTATTTACACAATTGCCGAGGCATGAAAGCCCAAAAAGAGTTTTTCACGCACAATTAAATATTACTCAGAGATGAGGTCTGGGGTGCAGGTAAGGAATGTTAGGGAAGACAAATTTACGACGTAAAAAAAGGAGAAGTTTGACACATAGTAGGAAGTTAAGACGTTGAGGAAAAGTTACATGAGGCATCAGGTTTTGTAATCTTCACAGCTGCATCTCATTATTATTATTTTTTTAATTTCTTCCGCCACACGTTCGTAGAAAATGAATCACGGGTTCATAATACTGAATTCTCCTTCAGTAGGCAAAAGCAAGCCCATACGCCGTACATTTCGCAGCAATCAACTGTTCTCTTGCAATTCGTTTGGCAGAGCCCTGCAAATGACCCCCCATAGCAGTTTCTTTTTTACCGGCGAGCATTACATCCACACGATGCGTGTTAGGAGAAGTCTTAAGACTATAAAGGCTATTATTCTAGCTATAACTACGAACAATACCCGTCACCTCAGTTCTTGTTTATGAATACCAAAAATAACACGAAACCAGCGATCATAAGTACACAGACAACGATCGCGCACCCCGTGCACGACGATTCCTGCGACTGCGGTCGGCGGCGCGTGGACCGACGGGGGCCGCTGGCAGCGTCGCCGCCGTCACTGAACCCTTCGAACCCGCCTCCGTAGTCGGCGTCCCCGCCGCCGTCCCCGCCACCGCCGCCGTCATCGCAGCAATCGCTGACGGCGACGTCGCAGCACCCGCCACCGTCGTCGCCGCCGCCGCCGCCGCCGCCGCCGCCGCCGCCGCCGCCGCCGCCGCCGCTGTCGCAACCGCCGTCAGACATGCGCCGCGCGTGGCAGCTCTTGTTCGCCGCCTGGCAGACTGGGTGCTGCGCGCGCCCGCGTGGAACGCTGCGCGAGGACGCCGGCGCAGCGCTGGTGAACCGCCTCGCCGCCAGAGGCCTCTGCCGCGCCGCCCACGCTGGAAAAGCAGTCCTATTAACTCGAGATATGACCTCAGGTCAATATATTAAGTATGTAAGACCTCATTCACAATACAAACTTAAATGTCACGTAATGCTGTAAACTTAAAAGTAAATTTACATGTAAAAACAAGCATTCACAATGACGAACGTAAGATGGAAGGCAAGCTTCATCTGAACCCACTAGAAATCAATGTTTTGAAGCTAGATAGATTCTTTTGTAGCATGGCTGAAAGATCTTTGGACGTTTGTTACATGTCGGAAAGATCTTTCCACCACGGTATCTAGCTTTTTCTTAAAATTTCCTATCCATTTGTCTTTAAATACATGTGCGATTAGCTGTTGTGTTAATGGTCGCTTTATTTTATTTTATAAGCCAAATTCACTAGTAATTCGTCGAACATAATTATTTTATTCCCCATGTCAAGTTAAAGTCACAGGAAAAGTTGCCCAAATTCTTACTTTGCGTTCACTACTTTGAGTTCGCAACCTAGTTTTTTTTACCTTAGTATAATGAAATGACATAACCACAAATACCTGAACACAATCTAAAATCGAGCTTTCAACTTCTTCTCGCGGATTTTGATGTGCATTTGTTTCCTCCATGGTGCTCTCTGATTGGGCTTCAGTAAGATTCCGACATAAGCGTAAAAGCTTGGTAATTGTGAACTCTTTAAGTTCACGGATTAAAGTCTCGCTTAAAGTCTCGATTCAGATAATGGTCTCTTTCAGATAACTCATTCCTAGCTTTTGCGGATATGTTACGTTTACGTTTAAATTGGCATTGGAAATGAATCCTGAGAAGGAGACTCAATTCTGGTATCTGAGATATACGGTGGGGGTATGCACGAAAAACGTCGGCAACTAATTGCTTTTGTTGATCCACATCACGCGGACAATTGACATTTGTAAGCCGTTTGCGGCCAATGGCCAGCAAGCCCTTGAATTATTTAAGTTGATATCTGCCTAAAGTTTCTCACCCGCAGATTTTATATTAGCAAACGTGTGTGTGTGTGTGTGCAAACATTTTTGTATCAAGCGGAGGTTTGAAAATTTGTTATTTATTAATATTTATAAACACAACAATAAATTACAGCAACAACAAATTATTGCAACAATAAATTCTTCCAAATAAACACATATCAATCTATCTATTAATCAAACTAAGTTTTATTTACGACAAAACTAACATCTCATTTGCAATTTTTTATTACTAAGTTTAAATAAAAGTATTTATAGTGGTCTTTAACACCTTATTTCCACACACTGAGTATCCAGGGAGGAAACAACAAAACTTCGAAAATAAGCTCTTAAGACAATTTTAGACATTTTTTGTCTAATAAACTCCATCGTGATTTTTCGAATGGCTAAGCCGCAATAAGCACTCAAACGTTGTTTGAAATAATACTTTCTATGCAATTATTTGCATTTCGGAAACATATCAACACTCCTGAAACATGTAAATTGTTTATTATTTACAAAAGAAATGAATACACTTGTTTACGAAAAAATAATACAAATAAACTAGTGGAGCTAAAACAGCACGTACTTTCTCGCTGTTAGTAATGGTAATGTAATACCATTTAAACCACAATTTTTCTCCAAATTAACGTATCTCAGTCATATTTTGTAATCCTCATTTGAAATCTTGGAACATTTGATACAAAAAATAAGCAGTATGCAAGAAAGTAAAATAATTAAAAGTTAATAAATACTGTGATAAGCCAGGAACCTCGGGTTTAATTTGAATGAGCAAAATGGCATCGAGCGTGTATTTACGATGGGATTAAACGCTTACAGAACGTTTCAGATCCAAAGAATAGACGTTGTTAAGAAAACGAATCAACAAGTATATTTCACGCTTGGTGTCATAGCGCTTTTCATTTGGGGATGCCGGACCCCGGTTACATGGAAGAGGTATGGAGATGGCATTGAAAGCCGTGATTCTGTGGAAAGAATAAGTTAATCTCTCTTTCTCTCTAAAACTGCCGATCTAAACTCATGTAAGCAATCAGTGCGGTACGAATGTTTGTTTCGGTATAGTCAGGGGTGTTAGTAAATGGTATGAAGGCGGATAAATTATTAGTTTTGTTTTATAGATTAACATTGTGCAGGGTAAGAGTTCAAAGTTGATAATTTTAGTAAGTTATAATTGCGATTTTTATGAAAGTAAATTTTTTTGAAACTTGAGCTCAAAGAGACAGCGTATTTCAGAAGTGGTTTATATCAAGAGTTCCGTAGATGGGACGGAATTTTTTGTAAGTCGGCTAAAGATAGTAGCACATAGGCGTTTCGCCTGAAGCATAGCAAGGGCTAGTCGCGTCCGCGATATAATTTGAGAGAAATCGTTGAATTACATAAAGTATTAAATAGTCGAAGACATACCGTGAACATTTGATAATTTATTCTGAATAGTGGCGAAAATGCCATTGGTCAAACATAAGTTCCTTCATTCACTGCATCAAGACTCTGAAGCTACATAGGCGGTTACATAAGTTTCCGGCCTGACCTAGATGTCACTCATCAATAAGAAAACCTTCTAAGTTGTTTACAGTCTTATCTTTAATTGTAATGATGTAGCAAGTTTGCAGCCGTCTTCTCATTCAGTTTTGTGGAGAGATGTTTGAGGTGGATGTGGTGCGTGAAATCTCATGATGCTCGTTCATTCCCGTCGATGCACCTGTGCTTACTACAATGATTGCAAAGAATGTTGCAAAGGACTATGGCTTTAAGGAGGTGGGACATTCTCACTACAGTCCCGATTGGACGCCCAGCATGTGTACCACTTGACAAAACTGAAGGAAAATCCGGGAAGACAAAATTCAGACGAGTGTGAGGAGAATGAAGCGAATTTTTTCAATGGCCTAGAAATGTTAATATACAAACGCAAACATTGTTTTTGAGTAAATGATGATTATGTATAAAAGTTACGCAATTTTTTCTTTCTATCACAATTAGAACTTAGTGAGGCTAGAAACTTATGGAACATGCCACGTAAGAGTGTTCTATTAACTACCGACGCTTTTCATACATACACTCCCCACTTGATTTTAGTCTTCCTCATGGATTAAATGGTGGTTGAGAGTTGGGTGAGGAGGGCGGCGGATTTTCCACGTACTATAATATTCTCCTCTTTTCGACATAATAGCTATCATACTTTGATATTCGATTAACTCTAACAAAACTAACACTATACGCTATTTACAATTTCTATGAACACAACTCTTATTTTAAAACAAATAACTTCACTCTCGACAAATATAATTACATTACACAGAATTACTTATACAACTAAGAATTATATGATTCAGGGTAGTGATATTTATTTTACAACTTTATGTGAGAGCAGTTGCAAATACCGGATATCAGGTTGACGGTTGTTTAGGTTACGGAGACATTCGCTACCATGTGACCTCAAACACTAAACCATCATTTAATTTTAAACGTAGTGTAAAAGAAGTAACTCAACACAGGCGTCTGCAGGGGCAACTGGTAACGCTAGTTTCGCTTTGCAGTTTTGTACAAAGAAGGCATAAAGATTTTATCGACAAGGCAACATATTTTACTGGTCACTATCACAATATCTCGGCTCACACAGTAACTTTATTTACGTTTTGGTTCCACCTCGCTTTGAATTTTCCATCCTGATTAGGGTTGGCAAAAAAATCAATTTTTAAAACATATTTTTTAGCAGAAACATCGATATTATAGCATTTAGATGTTTCCTTCAGATCGATATATTTGTCCAGAAACATCGATGTAAAAAGTTATGATTTGAATAAAATTTCCTGTATCTATTTTATTTGTGGATTGCTCGCAATTAATAACCATTGACGACTGTCACTGTTGTCGATCTTCAGGCGGCACGAGAGCGTTTGTTATTCACAACCATTCTCTAGAGTCGATACCTTTGTCGATTATTTTGTACGTGGTAATATCGTTAAAATGCAATTTGAACCTTGCCTACATAAGACATTGATTAGAAAATGAAAATGGCGGTCAAATTTAAGGCAGAAAATTCTTTAAACTAATATTGACGTGTTATGTATCACTAGAAGCAGGACATTTTACTTTGAAATGTATCATATTTAAAACATGGATATTTTTTTACATCGGTTCTTTGTCGCTGTTTTCATTGACATCGAAAAGATGGTGATGCTTTGAAGTATCGATGATTGGCCACAATTCGGAACCACCCGCCCGGCATTGCGCAGTTCTGCCCGTCAAGAAATTGCCCCCGAGCCCGCACAGCTCCTCCGCAATACTTAAGCGCAATGCGGGTTGCAAATTTGCATAAGGAATGCTTGATGGAATTTCTAGAAGAACGTTTCATCTGTTGAACTATTCGAAGTTGATATATATTAGTTAATAAATTTTCGGGTTAAGTGGAACATTTTTGACAAGTATTGGCGGGATCAATAATACGGTACCTATTTACAGGATATACATTTATTTCTTATAGAATATTATAATATTTTTGCTTGACTCACTTTATCGTTTAAATAGTCGCCACGGCGGTGGCTGGATGCGTACTCGTAATTGAGCAGTACTCTCTGAGGAAGGCCACAATACGCTGTCTGAAACGTTAGCCACCATGTCAGTGACGCGGCTCGTCCCGGATAGCCTAGATAACATAAACTCCGGCCGCGGAGGCCTACGCAACCAGAAGTTACCAGGTTGATTCGCACACTTTCGATGTGAAATGACGATTTGCATTTTATATAACCAATTCATTTCAACAGTGGCGAATTTCACCAAATAATACCCAAAGCAATGTAATTAATGCATTTGAAGCATCCGCAAATCAGACACGAACTTCACGCGCTCTGCGGTGAAGCGCTCAACTGTACCGCGCATTGCGGTACAGTTGCGCATAACATCGACTGACTCAGAATCTACCACCCCAACAGTTGTATACTTGCGATAACGTAATGGACTAAAATAATTCCTTTCGGAAACTGATGCGCTAGAAAACATGAGGATTCACGTGACGTGTTTT